ATTTTACTAATTAATTCTATTTAATTATATAACTAATATTGTTTTATATAAAAAAAAATATATATATAATATTGAATTTGAATATATTTATGAATCTAAACTGAATCAAATTTTAAGTTTAGGTTCAGTTCAGGTTTATAAATTTTAAGTTCAATTCAGATTCAGATTCAATAATCTGCAAAATTTAAAGTTCAGTTCAGGTTCAATGAACCTGGTTCATGAATCTGAACTGAACTGAATGGAATCTAGAAACACTAGCAAAATAACTCAATTAAAAAAAAAAACAAACAAGATTTTAATTAATTTTGTTATAAATATCTGTGAAAATTTCAATACAAAATTATAGCTAATTAAGAAAAAAAAAACAATATTACAGCTAAAGAAAAAAATAAAAAAACAAAATAAAAAAAAAATGAAAACAAAAAAAACATATAGCCTTATGATATGAAAAAAAAGAAATAAAAGAAAAAGAAAAAAGAATACAAAAAGAAGTTTTAGATAGAATTAACAGATAAATAAAAACTAGTAAAAAAAAGAGTAAATTAAAATTAAAACAAAATAAATAATCTTGATATAGGCTAATAGCAGTCTCTTATAAACCAGAAGCCTAGAATCTGTATCTGCAGACTAAAGCCCCTACAAGAGAAATTGTTGCTGTAGCAGATCACATTTAAATACCTTAAAGTAGCCGAATAAGTCCAAAATAGTTGAAAGAGAATACTTTATTATGTTTTAGATAGTAATTTACTTTGTAGCTCATATAAGCTTTTCCTAAATAAAATAATAGGCAAGATCGCCAAAAAAAACTAAAAAACTAAAAAGCCTTACTTGTTTAAAAAAAAATTAATAATTATACTCAGTTTAAAAATTATAAAAAAAATAATATATATATATATTATTTTTTATTAAAAATTGTATTTAACAAATTATATTTGAAAGTATATGTAATTAAATATAAGTTTAAATTAAATATATATTGTATTGTCATATGCTCGTGTTACTAGCATTTTATAAAATATTGTGTAAATTTTAAAGAAATTCATGTCAAGGAGTCTGAGGCTCTGCGCGATCTGTATATTATCCATAGTTGGCTATTAAAAGCTCATTTATTTTGTCAACCCATTCGTTGGCCGTACCGTTAGGATCGTCAAAATAGTACGTTCTTCGTGGCTATATAAAGGAAATATATATACATATTATATCGGCATATAGGCCATATAAAAAATAAATACAAGTAGGATTATAAGAATTTAAACAAGCAAATTAATATTACATTGGACTATATTGATTTTGCATAATTTAACCCAATCATGATTAAATATCAAATTGGATAAGCGAAATTGTAAAATTTACCCCAAGATAAACAAGAGTACAATAAGAAAAGAAAGTGCGTACCGTATGCACAAAAAATGTCTTTTTAGTCTTCAATTCGACTACCATTCTAGAACTCCAATATACTTCACCCTTCTGCTCCATTTTTTCTTGATCAACATATATTAATCTCGGAAAATCGGTTAAAATCAACAGACGCTTTTTCGAGAAAAGACCTTTACGTTTGTTGATAGGTCCAGCACGGATTATAAGTTCGGATTTGAGCAAAAATGGAATCCTAAAATTTTATAATGATAATTATTTATTAATATACACATATCGCGAGTAACTTATTAATTTCATATGCGTTATACGGTGTGACAACCTCACCATTGTGCAGAAGTTCGTTTTTGTTCCTCCAATTTTTTTTCTTTTTCAGGATCTACCTTATCCGGTCCATCATCACCACCTGCCCAGCTCTCTAGCCTAAAAGGATCATTTTGTTTAAGACCGGTAGCAATCGGACTACCGTTATTATCTCCACTATGATCAGAAAGTTTTCGTAAGTATGCGTTGGTGGACGTACGAAGTTCTTCCTTATTGTGCTGAGGATTTGGAGGGAGGTAGGGGAGTAGACGCGGTGCAGGTGAGTTCCATATATTGTCCCAATTAATATCCTTGAAGAATGGATGTGCTTTCAATCTAGCAACACCTGCTTTACCACCAGAACCCAGACGCTCAGATGGGTTCAATACCTAATTATTTAAAAAATAAAATTGATGACTTATAAAAATATTTTCTAAATGGAATCAAGTACAGTAAAGTCTCTCTAAACGAAATATGAGTATCATATGTAAAAAAAAATTAGTCAAAGCGATTTAAAGAGGTTAAAATCTATAAGTGCTATTATTTAAGTTGGGACCAAGCGGAGGCATACACATTTAGGGAGGCTTTTCATAGAGCGTGCATTTAAGGAGGTCTGATTATACTTGCTGACAAAATCCTTAACTATTACAAAATTAGTTTGTCCGCCAAATTCATATACCAAATTTTATTAATAATCTTTTTCAAATAATATCTTATATTTTTATAAAATATATATAATATATTGGTAAAGGTTCATGACTTTTTTTAAATTTTTTTATAACAGAAATTGTTTTTTGGGGTTTGGGATTTATCCGGATTTTGCCAGCAGGTATAGCTCTAATTGAATTATAAGATAACGTCCATACCAATAATTTTTGAACTAAATCTTTTGCTACTGGAGGAAACCCTTCAGGAAATGTGTATTCAAGATTGACAATTCTCTGAAAAGTCATATATTCGTTGTTTCCTTTAAATGGTGGACGACCAGCAATTAATTGATATATGATACAACCTAGTGCCCAAAAATCTGAGCTATAATTTGATGCTTACATTAGTTTGTTAATGATCGAAAAATATCGTTAATGATTCATTACAAACCTTTTACAAGCAGATTTTTCTTTCAACAATTCAGGACTGACATACTCTGCAGTACCAACAAACGAATTCGCACGATCGTCTATGATTACGTATCACGAGTAAATACCAAAAAAATAACATAAAAAAACTATGTACACATATATAAAATATTGTAATAAATATTTCAAACCTTCACCGTCTTCATTAGACTCTAATATCTTAGCCGTACCAAAGTCTTTAGTTTTTTATAAAGATTTTTGATATTAGCTTGTAATTTACAATATAATATATATATCATTTAATAAAAAACTAAAACAAAATCTCTTTAAAAATAAAAAATTTTAATTGCCTAAACCGGCGGTTTTTTACTTTCTTAAAATTTTACACAACCATGCTCGTTTTTTATGTTCACCTTAGTATTAATGCCAGCCAAGCTATATCTTAAAGCCACCCAAAATTTTCTTAACTCCGCAGTAATTCGGTAACTTACCAGAAGTTATAGTAACTTATCCTGTAATTTACCGATGATAACTTAACATTTACAACCCTTTCAATTTTGTGTTCTCATTTCATATTCTCGCATGTAATTTCCAGTTCTCAAAATACTCTATATAAAATTTGCAACTTGTGTGTTCGTTAGAGAATTCATGTTCTCATGAGAACGCTGAGAACACAAATTTCCTGGATATAAGTTACGTTGTCAGGTAAGTTATTACAACTCTACGTTAAATTCACTAGCTTAACATTAGGGGCACGAATTTATGGGTACGAAAATTTTGATGGCGATACTGAGGTAGTTAACATACGTAACTTACATAAGGCCATGCAAATTAAATTAGTTGATTCTCGTTACATGGGACAAGCAAATAGGACCCGCAAAAAATGTTATATTTAAAAAATTTTTAATACGTATAAAAATTTTTATAATTTTTATTTTTCATAAGTTACAAGAATAAAAAATATTTTATACAGTATATGTTAATAATATAAAAAAAATTTTTATAAAAAAGTTACCCGGCCGGGTAACGAGAACCAATTTTGTTTGCATGGCCTAATAAAAAAAATTTTTTTTATTGAATGATCTAATAAGAAATATTTTACTGTATCACACATAAATAATTACATAAATAACATTCAAACTAACAAATTATTCAAAAGGGTTGAGCAATATTTGAATACGTATAAACCATTGTATTATTAAAATTTAAAATCTTCGCTTTTCCCTATAAATAATAAATCGACAATACATAAATTCCGTTGCGTCATATTGTCGATTTTTATGTGGGGAAGAGACTTAGATTTATATTTAAATGAAAATAATTAAAAATTTAAAATTTAAAATCATATCGATATTTATCTGATTGAAAAAAATTATTTATTAGAGTAAATCCTCTTGTGAAAGGATAATCTTTTTAGCACGCGTTACCACGTTGACCAACCAGATCATTCATCCCGCGCATCATTGAATTAGAATTTACCGTATCTAAAATTTATATGAAACACTTTAGATTAGGTAATACATATTATATATATATTTGGATTGTTTGTGTATTTTCTACTTGCATTTGCGTGGTTTTTGTGCATTTTACTATGTATTTAGCTAACGCCTAACCTATTTTATCTCCTCGAAATCTTCATCACATGTTTATCTCCTTCTTGTAGCAACTTCTCAGAGTAATTTGATTAACTCGATAGTATTACCCCCGTAAATCGATTCAATTTACTGCGCTATATTAGTTTCCAGGGGGGTAATTATTATATAATATTCGGTGGTCCTTATTTCTTTTTTTACTTTCAATTTTCTTACTGTCTTTAAGTTTGTTTTAATGGCTTCAGGTAACACTATTAATTCTTATCCACTTATCAACGGTCACAGTCACACTTCGAGCTCCTTACAGCCATCCTCACCAGCATTTCCAAGTTCGCAAGGTGACACTCAAACCCCAAGAATTCCAATGTCACATTCGCCTTCTGTTCGTAAAAAAGGCGTTAATGACTTTGAATTCGGTAAAACGCTTGGAGAGGGCTCTTATTCTACTGTAAGCATGGCATCCTTCCTGTTTTCTTTTGTTGCTGCTTAAAGCATGCAGCATGCACATATATTCCTTTATTTCTATTTACAGGTTGTATTCGCGATAGACCGTTCTTCAAGGCGTGAATATGCAGTAAAAATCCTTGAAAAAAAGCATATTATAAAAGAGAAAAAAGTTAAATATGTTAACATTGAGAAAAATACTCTCAATAAAATGAATCATCCTGGAATTGTTCGCCTTTATTATACTTTTCAAGATCAAAATAGTTTATGTATCCTTTTTTTTTTTTAAATTCACTTATTTAAATTTCGAAATTTTTTTTTAGTATCTATGAATCTTTAACTTAAATTTTTACATAATCAGATTTCGTTTTGGATCATGCTAAAAATGGCGAACTACTTACCTTCATAAAGAAGGTATGCAATTTTTTTCTTGGTCACTCGGATCATGATTGATTCCATGCGTTAATTATTATTCTGAATTTAGCTTGGCTCTTTTGATCTTAATTGCACGCAATTTTATGCTGCTCAAATATTATCGGCCATAGAATATATGCATCATCAGGGTGTGATCCACAGGTGATAATTATTGAAAGCATCTCTTGGTGTATTATCAAAAGAAATTATTCTCAAATTTCTTTTACTTTAATGATATAGAGATTTGAAACCAGAAAAGTAAGAATCGC